AAATAATTATGCTAAGTAAGTGAAAAAGGCCAGCGAAAAAAGCATACATAGTGTGTGATTTCATTTATATAAAATTCTAGAAAATGCAAACTACTCTATAGTGATAGACAGTGGATCAGTGGTTTGGAATATGGGGCTGATGGAAAGAACCAAAGTGGGCAAATTGGAGGAATATCTAAGAAGGATGTGATTAGCAAGACTTTGGAAAGGACTGGACATGAGGGATGAAAAAGAGAGGAATATCTCCCATGTCTCTAGTTTGAAGACCAGGAAAAGCAGCAGCAGTGAGTTCCCTAAGATAGGAAACACCATGTCTGAACATCGGATAAAGTATTCAGTCTTACTAGGATGGAGTTTGTGGAGGTTCGGGTGGAATCACTGAGTAAGCAATTGGATGTTCTGGTCTGTCGCTCAACAGAGAGGTCTGGGCTGGAGGCAAAGGAACTCGGAGCCCAGTCAGCTCAGCCAGGGTTTCAAAATATAAGTAACCCGAATACACTGAGAGAATAGGTGATTCCATCTGGCTTTGGAAGTCAACTTCCAAAAATATTCAACCTGACTGTAAGATAAATGTATTCAGCTCCTCTCCCGAAAATACTGAGATTATCTTTTCATTTAGTGGTTTAATACAGATGATAGAGATAGACATAGAGATAGAGAGAGATAGAGAGATGTAGATATAGACAGGCATAGATAGATATACAGATAGATATAGCTATAGATACATATTAACATATATATCTACACACACACACAAATATATATATATTAGAGAAAACATAAATATATATATACATATATATATACATATATACATATACATATACATATATATATATATATATATATATATATATATATATATATATATATATAGTGCAGTGAAAAGGACCCTGAAGTATTCAGTAAGCCTAGATGCTCGTCCCGGCTCTCTCGTTATGTCACTGTGATTAATTTAGAAGAAGATTACTCTCTATTCCTTGTTTTCTCTGGCCATAGAATTATGCATTGGCAATTACTTTCTTTCAGCATTTTAAGGCTGTTTTCAGGCTTCCATCTTTTCTGTATTGGGTCCTAACTGGGAAGTCCAGGGTGCTATCTGGACCCCACCTCTTTCATGAACATGGAATTCAGGTTTTTGTCTCCCAAGTGGCTATGAAACTGCAGAAAGGTCCACCAGCTTCCCACTCTCCTCTTGTCTCCTTTCTGACTGGCTTCTAATTGTAAAATGAGAGGGATAGACTCTTGGTTCATTCATCCATTCATCCAATTTTTATCAAGTATGTTCCAGGCACTGGTATAGATGAAATAGATAGCCCAAATCCTTGTTGTCCTTTTATGCTTTCTCAGTGAGATTTGTGTGAGTTCGCCCAGTGCTTGTTCGTTTCTTTTTTCCTTAGAAACTTCTTTCGGTTGGGCTCAGAGTTTAGAGGGCAAAAATGAATATTTGGACCTATGATTCAGCAAATTACTCCAGTTCTTTGTGGATTTTCTGGCTCACTTTGAAGTTCGGGCGCCATCTCTTATTTTTATTTAACGTAGTTATTTTGTGTTTCTACTATTCTTCCGGATTTGCCTTTGTAATTAGATTTCACCCAGATAGATGATAAAATGAGTTTGCCTTCCCTAGTTGCTCTCAGGAGGGGAAGGGGACAATATAATAAGCCTACTGGGGGTGGGGAGAAGGGATTGCAGCTGGTAGCTGGGAAAATGAATCATGCATACATAAATAATAGAGAACAGACCACCCTGGAGCTGGGAGGCTTAGATTACAGTTAAAAAAAAATACATGTGTTAGGGAGAGTCCAGCATTTTTTGCAAGAACCTAAGAAATGACCTTCAGCCTTTTGCAAGATCTTTCTCTCCCTCAGGCCCTGGGGTTGCCAACAATGGCGTGGAAACACGCATGGGACCATTTTCTCTGTTTATATCTTCGTTTGATATTCTCTACTATATTAATTGACATAAATTTATTAGGAATTATTTTTCTTTTCATCTTTATTTTTAGGTACTTTGTATTTTTCCAAGTTTCCACAGGAAGTGGGCACTCCTTTTATAATCAGAGAAACAAATTCCATGGTAAATGGAATTTTAAAATAATATTTGAAACCTAGATACTGCGATGGACACAAGTGTTTTTTGTGCAGATGTATAATTCTGTAGTAAGGCAAGACTGCAGGCAGCACAGGCTTTGCACTTGATCTTAGCCAAAAGGCCGAGAAGCGATAAGCACAGGCTTTGGAACTTACAGCCTCCCCCAGGGAACTCCCCTGGTATTGTTACCTCAGTCTCTGTCCCAGACGACTTGTCCTCCCCCATTGTAAAGTCCCTCTAACGGTGGCAACAGAAGCCCATTGTTTCTCTAAGTCCATAGCACAAATCAAAGGAGGCTGTGCAAATATTTGCTCAATTTTTGCCCAACGGATTGAAACTGAATTGAAGATGGATGGGCACCTGCTCCCTGGCTGCTCTCTGTCTAGGCAGAGATTGCTCGTGTAAAATGACAGCAAATGCTGCCTAGCAGAAAACGCATAACTTGGGTGAACCTGGGCCTATTTTTATAAGATGGGTGGGTTCAGCTTTCAGTGATTTTTGAGCATTTCCCCAGGGGCGGGGGGGTGAGGACCAAGAAGTGTATGTGGAAAGGACAAAGGAGCAGGCTGGGAATAGAAGGGGAGACCATGGTTATGAGCCAAAGGCTCTGCACTTTTTCCTTTATACTCTTTTACAGTCATCCATGGGCATGCTTGCTTTTCTATCAGACGAATAATGATAATAGTTACTATTTTGCAGTAACCAATGTGCCAGGACTTATGCAATGGGCTTGGACTACTCAGGACTCTTGCTTACAAGTGACATAAAAACCAATTCTAATTTGCTTGGGGAAAGCGGGGGATTTATTGGACATGTAATTGAGAAATCCAGGTCCTGCTTTCAGGCATGACAGAAAGCTGCCTATCTCTTGACTCTGCTTTCCGCTGGGTTTGCAACAGTCTCTGGCACACCCTCCCCAGGTGCTGGCCAGATGGCCACCGGCTGCTTCAGGCTGACATCCTACCTCCTCAGCAACCACAAAGGAAAGAGGTTTGATGGGGGTAGTGGTCTTGAGAGGCTTCCCATATATATTTTCCCTATAGGAACCTTTTCTTATAGCCCCGTCCTCCTTTATGGCTCAGCCCTGAGCTGTTATTGCCCTGAGGGGCAGGGCAGGGTGGGTACCACTCAGAACACAAAATCCACAGGGAGGAGGAAGAAGACACCGCCTCCAGAATGGAGGGTGGCATAGACGCCCTCAGGGAACAGGAAATGTGAGGACAGAGACAGGAATCAGTCTAGGCAGAGTACATGTGGCTTCCCAGAGGGGCCTGCGGCCACCGCTGTGCCAGGTCTTGACCTAGGGAGGGGTATGGTATAAAGTGGGACGTCCCAGGTAGGTTGAGGCGGAAGCTGAAAGCAGAGATGGCCTGTGTCCCACTTCCTATTTGGAAGTCCGCCCCAGGATGCCTCGTGCCAACACAGAAGGGCTGCAGCAAAGCAAAGTGGTGGTGTGGCATATTTTGTGGGGAAATGGTTCCAGGTGGTGCCTCTGAGTCACTTTCAGTGCCCTTGTGACAGAGAAGGGATCCCGGAGCAGCCCCATGTTCCCCGTGGGGGATGAGAAGGTAGCTGAGAAAGAGGGACCCACTCAACATGGGGTCACCGTGTCTGGGAGGACAGGATGGACAGGCGACCCAATCCTGCCCATCTGAGTCAGGCCCATGGCTTGTGGGAATGGTTGGCAAAGAAGCTGCTTTTCTGCTGGACTTACTGCTGTGAAGTTGTGAGCCTGGATCTGCTGGGGTCTCACATGGGACCTGAGAGTATAGCTCACAGGGAAGGAAGCAAAGCTGAGAGAGGCACAGTCAGTCCCTGAAGTCTTTAGTCCCTAGAATTAAATCCAGGCTTGAAGCACATGTGTCCTGGGCTTTTCATTTACATAAGTCCATCAATTCTTTTTTTGTTTAAGCAAGTGTGAATTGGGTTGTTTGTCATTTACAGCACAAGGTGCCCTGACTAACCATGTTGGGAAGAGGGAGGCAGCACCAGCCAAGGGGTAGAGCCTGGAATCACCAGGGCCTGTAGATGAAAGAAGTGTTGGGTGGGAGGGGGTGGGCTGAGAGCCAGGTAGGAAAGTCTGGGATGATACTAAAGGCAAGTAAAAGATTTTGTGCTGGGAGATACATGGTTCAGGGACTGGGTGGAGTTGTGTCAATAGGCAGGACAGGAAGGAGCTGAGGACAGGGAATGAGGTGAGAAGGGCAGGTTAGCAGGGTTTAGAAGCAAACACGGAACTGGACATTCAGCCTTCCGGTGAGGAAGGTATCCCAGGTGGCTGGGAGAACGGTGGAAGCACAGGGTAGATGGGGTTGGGAGCTGGGGAGAGGGAATTTAGTGGAAGTCATGCTGATTTGAGATGGAAAACCAGAGAGTAGGTAGAAATATGGGTAAAATATCTGGGTGTAGTGTGTAGATTGGGAGCTATCAATACAGGAGTGCAATTAGAGGCCAAATGACTAGCTCCTCCAGAAAGTGTGCCTTGAAGGTAAATAGAAAATACTGACGAGTGTCTGCTTTGCTCAAGGCCAGTGTGCCAGGGCTCCCTGTAGACATCGAATTGACACCAAAGGCCTCTCTGACAATCGCAGTTGGTCAGATTATCTCCCACAGAGAAATCATGTAGGAATCACCACCAGCTGGAACCTAACATTTGAAATGACCCACAAATGCGGTATCCAATCAAGTTCAACTCTCAGATGCCTCACGGAGTTGTAGAAATCTGTCAAGTGCTTCAGTGACTTGCTCCGAGGAAGCTTCGGGGCTGGGAGCGAGGCTGCGCGGACCGCGACATCCGGGGGGGCGCCCTCTGAGCATCCAGAGACCGAGTAGCAGCGAGGTCTCCAGTTGACACACCGGGCCGGATGTGGTCGGCGCCGGAAGAGAGGCGTGGAGTAGGCTGAAGGGGGGGGGGGGCGAGAATCGTTACATTTTTGGGTCCACACAGTCCACACGGCAATGGGAACCGGACGGTGGCGGATTCCAAACACGCTCATCCAGCCCAGCACCGAGATCAGGGTGGCGCCGGGCTAGGCACACGGCCCAAAGGCATCCACACTAGGGCCCCGGGCCCGGGCCGGATCTGGGTACTCCGGCCTAGGCGAGCGTCCGCGCAGTCCCTAGTCCCAAATCTGGCGTTGTGAGGCGCGCAGCAGCCCTGCGCGCATGTGGCCGCGGTCACTGTACACTCGGGTGCCCGTGGCCGTAGCTTTTGCCGGCTGGGTGCTCTGCAGATTGGCCGGCCTCTGGGGGCTGTGTTTGGCCTCAAAGACTCAGCGTCCCCTCCGCAACCCCCTTTGCGCCTTTCTCCCCAGCCGGACCGCCCCGCCTCACCGCCTCCGGGGGCGGAGCTCAAGGGCGCCTGGTGAGGGGCGGGCCGAGCCGCGAGCGCGGCGAGGTCAGCAGGGGGCGCTGTGGGCTATTGCGCTGTCCCGCGGTCAGCGCGCGCGGTCCTCGCCTCCCTTCGCGCCGGGCGGAGCAGGCGGCGAGCGCCGAAGAGGGCGCGCGGCAGCGGAGCTGGGGCCCGGCCCGGACCATGGGCGGTGAGCACGGTGCGAGCTGGGGCCCAGGTAGTCACCGTTGGGGATAAGCGACGCGGAGACCACAGGCGATCAGGCATCCCAGGGTCTGGAGTTGGGAGACTGGGGGAGTCCTCTAGACGCCCCGAGGCCGGGACGACCCGGCAGTGTCTCCTGTGGGAGAGTGGCAGTGGGGCTGGGGTCGGCTTCCGAGCACTGGTTGGAGCCCCGCAACTAAGCGCCCTCCTCCATCCCGCGCCCTCCTGAAACCCCAGGCCCCCGACTGCCTCCCTCTCCCCAAGCCACCCACCCCCGCACGCCCCTCGTCCTAACCCCCGCTGCCTCCCCAAGCTCCAGCACCCTCTCCAAGCCACAGTACCCTGGAATCCGTCCTGCGATTCCGCCGCCCCCTTCCCAAGCCCTCGCCCTCACCTCCGGGTGGGCGCCTCGCCCACCCCCGCTGCCTCCCGCTTCAACATCTCCAGCCCCGCGCCTCTCCTGCCTCGCCTGCCTCCACCCCGCGTCCCCGCCCCTCCACTCCGCTCCGGTTCGGCCCCCGCACTCCTGCAGCGGGATTCCAGCCCGCAACTCGAGCTCCCGGGACCCCCCTTCCCGGGCAGTTCCGAACCCTCTCGTCTCCAGGTAAGAAGGCGGCGGCAACTTTTCCGCGGCCTTTCTGGGGGTGGGACTGGCTCCTCCTGGCAGCTACCTGCGCCGGGCGTCTGCGGGGTTCCTGGGGCCCCTCGGAGGGCCGCTCCGTGCGCAGGCTGACGTGCCTGGAAGGAAGCTCAGGCTAGGACTGCGTGGTTCCAACCGCACGGCGTTGCTTTTGCTCGTGAACTTGGATATGTCGCGATCTTTTGTCACACACATACACACACAATTGCATCTGCTTGGGGCAGGTTGCTTTCTTTGTGGCTGCAGCGGTCTTTCAAGTTGTACCTGTGGATGGTTAAAGGATTAGTAGTGCAGGCGGATGTGGAGCCATATTTTCCAGCTTGGGCTCCGCGCTCAGCTGTAGTGAAACGGCCCTGTAGGGGAGTGAGGCTGTTACCGCCTGGATGGCCAGTGTCTTCGTGGGAAGGCTAGGATGCTTTGTAAGCATTCAAAAAGTAAATCGGGAGAGATGTGGAATCAAATGGGTGCGAACGGAGAAGTGTGAGGTGGATGGCCAAGGGGGCCTCAAGAGGACTTCTCAACTTGGGGACATTTGTTGCTCTTTGCAGAAGGCCCCCGGATGAACCCGAGTGTGGAACTGACAGTGCCCAGCCCAGCCTTAAAAACGTGACGTGACTGTAGACAGGGCTTGGCAACCACTCCTCCTCAGAGGCGTTGGTGCCCAGTCTGGACATCTGTGGGAAGAAAGTTTAAAGCAGATGGTTTGACAAGCCTCCCGTTCCCTGGAGAGAGGTGGAGATGCATGGTTACAGCTTGAAAGCCAGTGCGTGCGTGAATCTACCCCCACCCTTCTCCTGGCTTTCATTAAGTCTTGGATCAAATTAATTGCCTATTGCAGAGAAAGGACATGTATGGGGTATGTCTCTTTTAGGGATTAGTTCCTGCCCAGCCCTCCTTCACTGATGTGTGGGAGGCTGCTTTGGGGCACCAAGGAACCAAGGGCAAGATGGACCACCTGGCCTCTGGAGCACAGCACCCTGAGTGAGCATTTGTGAAACTGTAGTATCGGTGTCTTTTTTCTTTTGATTGGCTTGAATAGTAATTAGCTCAATATTCATTCACCTTTAAATAGTGAATTAATAAGTAACTAGCCCCAGGTCACACTGGGGTTCAGAAGGCTCCTTTGGAGTACCCACAAATTCCTCCGGGCATCTCCTCAGCCCTCACCACTCTGCTCTGTGATGAGCTGTTGACCATCAGATGACCCACTGGCCACGGGAGGAGGTGGAACTATCTCTGTGGCCCCAGCACCCAGCCTGGCACCCTGTAACTGGTAGGTACTCAGTGTTTGTCTAGTAAAAAAAAAAAAATCCTCTTGAATCCAGTCTATCTGAGTCTATAACCCATGTTTTCCATTGTGCTGCACTATTTTCAAAATGCCCTTAAATTAGCCAAATTACATATATATATATATATATATATATATATATATATATATATATATATATTCATTCTCACTAGAGACAAACTCATTTCTGTGTGTATTTGGGCAGATAACTCAATTTATGGGTCAGGCTCTGACAGCTGGGTCTCTTAACCTCAGTGGGGACTCCAGAATTTTCAGGAAGTAAAGCAGTTGTTCTTATCCCAGAATTGGGGTGAGAGGGTGATGGGCACTCTGGGATTTAAGGCTGTTTGCTGAGGGGTGAGTCCTCCACAGTTTAACTTAAAGGGCCCTGAGCGGCGGCCACAGCCCCCTTCGACATCCCCCAACCCTGCCCATGATGGAGGAAGCACTCAGGGACACCAGGTGCCACTTGCAGAGCGCACTGTCTGCTTCAGATTGCACCGTCTTCACTCCAGTGGGCGCTGCCCCCCCCCCAATAACTGCCTTCCATGCAGAGCTGGAAGCGCCCCTTCTTGCACATTTCTGGCAATATGGCTTGCAGCTCTGTTGGGGGGAGGGAGGCAGGTGTTTTTGAATGGTGTTTCTGTCAGAGGCCACCGTGACCCACTGGCAGATGGGTCAAAGTCCAGTTCTTCTGACTCTGTCAAAGGTCAGCTCTGGAGAAAAATACAGCCAGAGGCTGAGAGGGCAGGACACCCTGGGCCCCCTTTTTTTCAGGAATCTGGGAAGAGCTGGAATTTAGAATGTCACTTAGATGTGGGAACCTGCACTGCTCACAGTTTCACGGCTGTCATGGGCTTATCTTTCTTACCCAGACTGTCTCTGTCTCCAGGTCTGGCTTTTACCCAGAATTCCTGCAGGTGGTGAAAATCTATTTTCTAGAAGAGGTTTAATTAATGCCTGCAGCTTGTGAGTGAGAGAGAAAAAGAGGGAGGAAGGGAGGAACTGAGACAGACTGCTATCTGGAATGGGTAGGCAAAAGATGGGAGAATATCCAAGGTCCTAAAAACTCAGACGGGAGAATTTCAACCCTGGAACAAGGGTCTTGTTGGTGGAGTAGGACTTTGCAGGGGTACCATTAGGAGCTAAGTCACTAAGACAGGAAAAATGTTCCCGAAGTAACCTGAAATAAGGTTTGCTGGGCCCACTGTTCTGGTTTCTAGAAAGCTTTGAAAGCCAGCTGAGGGATAAGCTTAGAAAGGTGGGAGAGCAGTGAGCCATTTTAAGTTTTTGAATGAGGTTTGTGCTCTTTTGGAAATGGTGGCTTGAACGACGTTGGTCTGGGGGAGTCACCTCACACCTGAGATGCTGAAGGAAGAGCCCAGGGGAGTGGCAAAGGGAGAAGCAGCTAGGAGGGTCTTTGCACCCACACTCAGGGTGAAGAAGAGGTGCCAGCGGCCTTCCGGGAGGCTGGTGGGCGTTTTGACAGAAGCAGCCTCCCAGGGCCCTGTCTTCAACGTGCTCAGCAGCCTTGCAGATGGATTAGGGCCTGTGGAAGCCCCAAAACCTGGAGATGCTGCAAGGCAGCGTTTGGGAAGCACCTGTTAACCAAGAATGAATTGCAGGTTCTGCTCTGAGTCCAAAAGGCTGGAGGGCTGGGGTGGCCTCACTGAGCCACAGACTCGGGCCTGCTAGCCTCCATCCCAGAACCAGCAGGCTGCTCTGAATGCCTGAATGCCTGGGCCTTGTGTGGGGGAGCCACTGACTTTTGGGAAGGAACATGGCAGCCAGTCAGCTTCCTTCCAGAACATGAAGGAAGTTAATGATTAAAAAGGCACTGAGAAAAGAACCTGGAGGAACCTTGTGGAGTAGTTCCTGCAGCCAGGAGGCCACCTTCACCCATATCCTCTTGGTTGGGTCATCCATGCATCCCTCGATTTCTCCCTCCCTGTCTTCCTCCCCTCCCCCAGCCCCATCCTTACGCACTATACATTTTGGTAGAGCCACCTTTGTGCTAGTACTCTGGGATAGGGGAGAGTTGGAGCAACTCACACATCCAGTGGTAGCAACTGTAGAAACTTGAAAATTCCGTTTGTACAGTCACTTCCCCAACATATACATTCACATTTCTGTATTACAAGGCATACCTTTTGTCATTTGCTTGCCACTCTCTGTGCCTCTGTATATAAACCAACTTCCTTAGAGAGAGCTATAATCAACAGCATAAAAAACCGGAGCTTTAAAGAACAGACTAAACTGAAAATTATTGCACCTAGTTTTCATATCTCCTTTCCCTCCCCTTCTCTCCGCTCCTGTGTGTGGTTAGAGGCATCATTTATACCAAATTTACAAATAGTTTGAATACTATTTGTCCTCCCCCTCAATTATATGGAGCCAGGTGTCTTTCCAGCCAACAAAACCACAGCTTACTTTCTTAGACCAATCTCATTCTTGGATCCAACCCCAAACTTCAAGCCTTCAGAGCTATAGCCATACCACTTTGAGCTTTTTGATTATAAAATAAAATGCTCTTCCTTGCTAATTTTGTCATCTGCTAATATAGGAGAATCTGAAGTTGGAATAAAACATTTACTGCCTCCTTAACTCTTTATGCTTCTAAAGTGGGGTTAAGGTGGAGAAAATTTATTAAAGTTGTAGTAGGAATGGCTGGAAGCTCGGAAGTAATAATGGAGAGACACAGTCTTACAGGATTATTAAGCTTTAAACATTGTTACTAAAGTGTGGAGAGATAAATAGGACCATCCATAGAAGTATAAGCAAGTGTAGAATTTTGTCACATATAGATTGATTAGTATAGAAATTTTGATCCATCATGATGTTGAAATATACTAATTATTATGATCATATATAATGCTTATATAGTACGTTATATAAATAGGCCACTATATCCTTGATCTCATTCAATCCTTCCAGAGAGTCTGGGATCTTCTTAGAGATGGAGAAACAGATCCATGGGGGGTTCAAAAGGCTTCCCCTAGAATTCACATATCTTCAACAGCACTACAATGTAAACCTAGATATTGCTGCTACAGTTGCTTGATAACCAAATGTGGTTACATAGTTATTTGAAAATTATAGGTGGTCTCCGGCTTAGGTATTGATTTTCCTTGAAAGTCAAACAAACAGCAACAGTGTATGCTTAGCACCACCAGAAACCTCCTGGGAGGATTCCCCCCCCAACCCCTGGCCCCAGGTTGGTGGACGTCAGAGTTTCTCTGCTGATGACTTCCCAGTACTGGCGTACCTGATGTTGGATGTGTATTCAGCACAGTGTAGTGGTTAAGAGTGCAGACTCTGAACCCAGACTGACTTTACATCCTGGATCTACCATTACAGTACTAGCCTTGTATCGATGGGCAAGTTACTTAACCTCTCTCTCTGTCCCTCAGTTTCCTCATTTGTGGGACGATGATAATAATACCTACCCCCATGGTATTGTTGTGAAGCTGAAATGAGATTGTATATGACAAGGACTTAGAGTAGTGCCTTGCACATAGTACATGCTTTAAAAAACGTTAGTTGTTATTACTAGTCATTTGTTCCCTAAAAATATGTTCATGTTTCCAACTGACTGCACTGAGATGATGAATATAGGAAGCAAAATGGATAAGACACACATCGTCCCTTAAGTTCACAGATAAGGACATGAATGGTAATTCACACATTTCCCAGATGCTCACCTTGCTCTTGGCCACCTGTCATGGCTGTGAGAGACCAGGGTATGGCCTAGCATTGACCACGGGGGAGAGGAAGGGGTGATAACCTTTAGCTGGCATATGCTGGTATGACATGGCCTTGCCAGCTATTTAAGACAGGTACACATTTGATTGGTCTGTGTCTGACACATGCTGGTTGTTTTAACTATCACTCTTGGCCTAAGGTTGTTAGTAGGAAGTGTGATAAGAGACCACAAACTCGATATTTACTCACTTGGTTTGCCAGCACTGCTCTTGGTCCTGGTCAACAGCATACTGGAGCTTTAAACCTCGCCAGTGTTTAGGACTGCCTCTTCAGCAGCCCCAGACGCCCAAGAGACCATCACAGCCCCAGTTCTCTGAGTGAGGAATGGTATAGCTCAGCGGTTCTCAACCTGTGGGTCGCGACCCCTTTGGGGGTCGAACGACCCTTTCACAGAGGTCGCCTAAGACCACCAGAAAACAAAAAGATACTTACATTACGATTCATAACAGTAGCAAAATTACAGTTATAGAGTAGCAACAAAAATAATTTTATGGTTGGGGGTCACCACAACATGAGGAACTGTATTAAGGGGTCGTGGCATTAGGACAGTTGAGAACCGCTGGCATAGCTGCTCCCGAGGGCAGGGAGGGGACCCGAGGCAGGAGGCCAGAACACTGTATTTCCTGTGTCTTCTAGCCGGAACCTCCTTAACGTGAAGGTCTCTGGGAAACCATTTAATAACTTGGGTTTAATAACTGGTCCTGGAAAGGGAGGTCCTTCCTGCTCAGACCTCGCCCTCACTGCTCCCTGTGTCCTCCCTGTGCCATGTGGGAGCCTGGCAGTCTGCCTAACTAGCCCCTGCTGTCACCGAGCTGGCAGAGGCCCTCCAGTAACAGAGCTGAGGACTAGAGAGACCTTCTGTGATTGCTGCTTCAGGAACCTGAGCACTTCTCTGCCCTGTGAGTGTGATTAGCACCCCCTCTGCTCTGCACCGGAGTACTTTATACTAATAAGTTGGCAGTCAGTCTGGAAACCTGATCATCAGTTCTCTTAATGGGAAGCCTGCTTATTTGTACTCATTTTTAAACTACTGGAATTTGAAGTCAATGAGGCTTTGTCTTTTTTTCTTTTAATACTTGCCCCACATTTGGAAAATAAAGAAATGGCAAATAATGATATTCATTAAAAAAAACAACAACATTTGTATGTAAACAGAATTGAATTAAAAGAAGGAAAACCTTTTCTCCGGTTTCTAGAAGGTTCCCCCAGGTGCCCTGACTTCT